CCCCGGTAGGGCCAGCCCCGCTGAATGGAGTTTCCACGCCTGTCTGGACCTTCCACCCACGCCCCTCTCAACACGTGTCCTGGGGAGATTGGCAGAAACTTCCCCTTGCCCGAGGACAGCCCCGGGTGAATGGGCTTCCCTTCTCTTGGCCCGCCCCGGCATGGAGAGTCCGGGTGAATGGGTCTACCCCGCGCGATGGGAGGACCCCGTGATCCTCGGTTGGGTATCCCGTCAGCAGCGACCGTCACCGTCATTGGGTATCCACAGGACCGTCCATTGCTCCGTTGACCTCAAATAGTTTGAAAAGATGGGAGGGGGAGGGTGGGTAGATTTTAAGCTTTCATTTTTGTGAATAATTGTTAACCTTGTGTAAATAAATTGTATTTTCAATTGACTTTGATATCCTCTTGACCACCATCATTCCTTATGGTCTTCAATTATAAATAATAAATAAACATTGAGTTTGATCGTAGAAAGAAATTAAAAGAGAAACACTTTGACGTACCATAGCTAAAAATTCTTTTTTCAAAAACACACTTGCTTTTAAAACGATAGCAGATATGAAAAACGCTTGTTTCATATGGAATCAGACTTATTCACAATTTTCTCATACTTGAAGAAAGTTTATTTTTGGTGTGTGATAGTTTTTGTTTGATGTCAAAGACTAAAATAGTAGAAATGGTGTACTCAGCACCGAATCAGTTTTATTCTTTAGTTTTGAAAAAAGAAGTAAATGAAATAGTTGTGTCATGTTAAAAATGTTTTAAAGTAGAAAAGTAAAGAGAAAAATCATCTCGAAGTTTGAAACGTTAGTGAGTGAGCAATGGTAGAAATAAAATCATAGCATTTCTCGTGTCGAAAAGCAGAAAGGTGGAGTGAGCAATCATCTCAAAGTTTGAAACGATAGTGAGTGAGTAAAATCAAATCAAAGCATTTCTCGTGTCGAAAAGCAGAAAACGATAAGAGATGAATCACATCAGTTGTGTCTTTTCTTTCCAATAGATAAAGTTTCAAAAGAGATTCTTTTTAAAAACCAAAAGATGTTGAGTTGTTTCAAAAAGTTTAATTTCAAAAGAGAGCAACGCTCCAGTCAGCTCGTAAAGAATTATGTGTTCTTGTAATGTGAGTATTAAGATACTTGAGGTTTAGCGTTTCATTTTCGATAAAAGGAAGTGTGAGGAATGAGGACAAAAAGTTGTTTAAAATTAATACATCATTTTATTTAGAAATATTTTACAAATATGTACACATGAAAAACACTGGAGGGAAAAATCACAAGTATAGCGATTTCAGTTTATCTAGAACACAACAAAATGCAAACTTCCGATGGTAGTCAATAAAATCGTGCTTGAAATCACACGGGTCAAAAATCTTTTCAATTCTCATCAACTCCAACCGAGGGGGTTTTATCTCGGCATTTTCGTGTACAGACTACTCCGTATTACGCGTATTACGCTCATTACAAGGTATTACCGGGTATTACAGAGTATTACCAGGTATTACAGGGTATTACCAGGTATTACAAGGTATTACAGGGTATTACAGGGTATTACAGGGTATTACAAGGTATTACCGGGCATTACAAGCCGAGAAAGTCCACACTATTCTAACACTCCCCGCAACAAATAACGTAGGAGTACGTGCAGCAACCCGTACTGGCTGAGCGTTAGTTGTTAGTGAGCAACAATTCTCACGCAGATACGTATAGATGGAAGGCCAGGGCAGCGGGAGGGAAAACGTACGGGTGAGGGGAGGGAGGGATGAGAAGGCGTGGGGGCTGGGGGGTGAGAGGGTGGGGGGGGGGGCACTGGGATATTTGAAAATGACCAAAAGTAAAAATGACACTCAAAATCGAAGTAGTAAAGTAATTCGCATATATTCCATTCTGTATTTTTCATTTTTAATGTTACCAGTTAGAAAGTTTGTTCCTAGTTGTTCCGTTGTCATTTTTTGTTCGTTGTCTCCAGTAATTAGAAGTGGGAGTGTGATGACTTTTGACCCCGACAAATGAATGCTGTTAGCAGATTTAACTTACGGTGTATTGAACAATTGTAGAACAAACAAATATAGGATAACGCTGGGTAAGGCAAACCCTTGTAACAATCAGATGGAGAAATTTATTCAATCAATACCCTCACTTGCCTCTGGTTAAAGTTAAATTATATCAAGTAATATTCATTTTAATGTGTTAAAACTTCGCCCAGACTGAAAATTTGATCTGTCATTCTTTCATTCATTTTCATCTGATCTCTGCGAGGAGTTTTAATAATCACGAGTCATTGTAGTTTGTTAATTGAAAGTTCTGTAATACATCTTATCATAGAATGTAATTTAAATTCTTTCACAATTTCATTTCAGTATCGTTATAAATATTATGGCTTTAGACAAATCTAGTCAATGTAAGAGAATCATACATCTCGTTCTGATTTTGACCGGCTTACCCTACATTAAGTTGCGACTGTGGCTCTAATATTGTTCGGTCCCTTGCAAGTATATTGCTTTTAAGAAAATAAGTTAAGAGTTTAATTAACCTTTTAAGATGTCTTTTTGTAAGATTAAATTACTCGACTCCAACTGACCCTGCACAAAAGTAGAATCATCGGATTTATACAATGCGTCCCACAACAAGGGAAAATCAGTTTTAACTTTATCAAACGGCAGGTTCTTCTCTTTTAGAATCTCAGCAGCTGAGAGCACAAGTTGATCGTAATACATGATCATGTAAGGATAGCCTTCCTTCAGCTTATTCACTTTAGAAATGATGTTATCTTTCAAACGCAAAAAAGAATTGAAAGTTTGAGTAACTAAACAGATATTTTGTTCACTGAAATCAACTCTCTCCATTTTCAGGACGAATCTATCATTAGACATTTTCAAACAAGAAAGCTTTAAACCAAGAATAGTAGTAAAATCCCCCTCACATTTTTTGTTAAGCATTTTTACGACCCCTCTCTGCACTTTAGGAGACATCAAAGTAACAAGCTCACGATATGTCAACCGAACAAGTTCAGTTGACTTCTCCCCACGTATGTGAAAAATTACATTTTTGGAGAGAACATCGTACCCCAGCCAAAGCTTTTTACTTCCAGACGCCGTGAGATTTACTGCTTTCATACATACTTCAAGGGGATGAAATCCCAATCCACCGGTGGGGTTTTCCTCGACGTCCATGGCTGCGTCCTGCTCCGTGGCGTCGTCCATGGCGACGTCATCGAAACCTTGTACCGACGAGCTGATGTTGGCCTGTGGTCGCGGGTCACGTGCCGGCGAGGTCATCAGAACGGCCCGGTCAGGGCCCTTCTCAGGCGTGGCCTGAGCCATGGGGACGAACGACTGCATTGGGTCGAGCTGGAGCAGGTGCGAGGTCGTCTTGCACGACCCCGTGATGATGGGGTCGTCAGCCGCGACGACCACGGGCTGGGGCGCTGGCGGCTCGTGGAAGGCAAGCATCTCCTCCAGGATGAAGATGTTCGGCAGGTCGTCCTGGGCAGCCATCTCCTCGACCCCCATCTCCTTCAAGACGGCCTCCACCTCGTTTGGGTCCTCCAGGAAGGACGGCCTGGGAGAAACGGCGGCGGCCAGGGCCTCGACGGCGGCCGCGGCGTCCACGACGTCGAGAGGTCTCTTGCTGGGGCGCGCCGGGGCGGTGCGTGGCTCGTCGCGAGCGCCGCGCGTCCTCTTTGTATTCCCTTCTCCCACCTCGCGGCCCAGCGGCCCGCCGGGCGCATCCTCCCGCGCCGCCCCGCACCACCCCCGCACCTGTCCAGCCAGCCCTTGGGTAGGACGAGTGCCGCTAGGTGGCGCTGGAGGGCTCCCGCACCCTCCCCCGCACCACCCCCACCCCTCACTTACGCCCTCGACCTGGTTCAGCTAGGTGTCGCTGGAGGGGCTCCTTTACCCCCACATCGCACGGCCGAATGGACGCCTAGGGTTGTGGAGTCAGGTGTCGTACAGTGGCGCGAGTGAGCCAACCCCCACCCCATTGCACGGCCTCGGGGAGCAACGCCCCCGTCGACGTGGCCCTCGCGCGCGCGTCAGTTGAGTTCGGGTGGTTGCCCAGTATGGAGGAGCTCCGAGACATTATCGCGAATTGGCAAAACGGGTTATATTTACCCGAACAGTGGAAGGCCGAATTGTACGTTCATGTCGTGCGTCTTTTGGAGGAGACGATCCCCCCTGACGAGACTATACTCGAAATTTTGGACAGTACTTATGGTGCATTTGTGGCTCAACTGATCTTTCGTAACGAGCTTGATCCTGACGCTCACAAACGCCAGTGTCGGCTGAGGCAAAAGGTTGTCGCTTCGCTCGCCGGTTGGGGGGATGCATCCATCGGTGAAGCAGTGAATGAGCCGTGGGGTGCGCCGAGCCATCAAGTCGGGGGTGGAAGGACCCCTTGCGCTGCTGCGCCGCCGACCGGAGTCCATGAGGGGGCACCTGCCAGCGTGGCGAGCACCGCGCCGCCGACGCCGCCGTCCACGTCACGAGGAGGGCCCTCGAGCACCACGCCGACGACGCGATCCGGGAGGAACCGTCTTGCGCCTCAAGATCCTCCTGAGGTAGAGCAAGGTGATAGTGACCCTGTGATCGAGCTTCTGGAGTCCAAAGAGAGGTATCTCGGTCAGTTCAAGACGACTTTCCGTCAAGAAACGTTCCACATAAAGGACCTGCAAAAGAAGTTACTCGATAACGATTTGTACATGGAGACTCTATTTGATGATTTGATAAAAAGACAGTGTGAATTAGTGAATGCAGTAGAAAAAGATAGATGTATTTTTGAAGTGCGAGGTGATGACGAGACGAATGCTATTTGGTTTCATCTCAGACCTGTTGGCCAGTTGAATGGTAGAGTTGTGTTAGATAAATTATGTAAAACCTTAAATAGTAATCAAAGCTTTTGTGCTGGTGTTCTTCACCTAAATTTCATTCATGTACCATCAGTCAGAGGCAGTGGTCGTGACACCCGTCATCACGAAACAAAAGAGAGTTGGATTGAAAGATATTGTAAGACAGGGAGTATTTACGACCCTAAAAATGAAAATGACAATATGTGTTTTGCAAGATGTATAGCATTTTTACAATTGTATAATTCTGCTAAAAACAGGTGGGCAGCATGTCGGTTGAGAAAACCTAATAGTTCAGATGTTTACAATTTAGCATTAAAACTATGTAAAAGTGCTAATGTTAGTCCGAATCAAGAATGTGGATATGATGAAATAGTAAAGTTTCAACTTATTTTAAGAGAAAGATTGGTTGTTTTTCTTGATAAAGAATGTAAAGAATTTATATTTTGTGGTTCTCAATTCAATGATAATGGTGATGAAAGGAATGTATTATTCATCTTACAAGATAGAAACCATTTTTATGGAGTTGTCAGGATAAAAGCTGTATTGAATGCTACTTATTTTTGTTTAAGTTGTCTGAAGGGAGGTAAAGGTCAGAAATATAATCACAGATGTGATTTGTCTTGCAAGAGATGTGATGGTGGGACACTACATACTGAAACGCCATTAAAAGTTTGTGGAGCTTGCAAAAGATATTTCGCAGGTGATGCTTGTTTTCAAGAACATCTCAAAATAAGGGGTTCTGGTAAAAGTACTTGTGACATAAAAAAGTATTGTACTACTTACCGCTGCTTACCTCCTAGCGAATCTATCAAGGCCTCGCTGGATTGCAGCCGCTTCTTCAGCTGGGCATTTTCCTCCCTCAGTTGTTCAATATATCCTATCAGTGCAGCTTTGGACATATTTTCAAAAGAGGGTGGAGCATCCGGAGTAAACAACGCCTCGGTTTTGGAGTGAACCTATCAATGCAATGCAATAGTTCTCGGTAAATAGGTGCTTAATTTGGAAATGCATTTTATTTTGGATCAACATTAATTGACTTACCTCAACCGTTTTGATGCCCGTACTGCCAACAATAATATCCTCAAACCTCCTGCTTGTAGGAGGTAAGCCCTGCTTAGTCAACTTCTTTTTGGGGGCTGTCTTACTATCACTGTCAGTCGTGCCTGAATGTTTCCTTTTCGCGGAAGGCTTACTTGTCTAGCAATGTAAAATTACAGAACAGCAGCGATAAGTAGAGCAGAAGGAAGAAGAGTACATCGAAGAACATAAAGCACTATGTTGTCTCTCACCCGCAAATCTGTGTTCGATTGTACCATGTCGCTGCCTAGTTTTTTTCTGCAGAAATCTCGTCTCCCTGCCTTGTCCATGAACTGCACCACTTTGCCGTCAGTGTTGTTAGCAGCCTTCTTCAAAGCAAGCATTGGTACGCGACCTGCAAACAATTTAGTAATATTAGCACGATATTTGCTATGGTTTTTCTGGTTAACAGTCACCTTTGTTACTTACCACCAACTTCGTGCACGAACACATTTGTTGAGTACCACTGTGATGGTGCCTCCCAGTCCTTCCTTTTGTTCTTTAATTCTTTCCTTTCAGGTGCATCTGCTCTCTGGGACTCTTCTGGCCACCAAATATTTACGTCTTTATTTTTTAATTGGGTTACATCTAAGACTGGCTCACGAAGCCAAGCCTGGTAGGCGACGCCATTACAAACACGGCCGTCCTCGGTGGGATCTGAGTGTTTGACCAGCATGCACGCATCATGATCAACTTCAAAGAAACTCGCGGTCTCGCGGGGCCTGGGCTTCGACTTATTGGACATGGTGGTGGGGATAATCAGCCGCCAGGTGAGCCACACGTGAGGGACGTGGGCGCGAATCACGATCAAGATAAAACCACAACAGCGCTGCGCGAGAACACGGGACGAGGTGGGCAGGTAAGAGGAGCTGAGCAGGTCGGAACAGGTCTGTGTGACTCAGTCAGGTGGTTCGGGGGTGCCACCACCACACTGATAACGAGCCCTACCTGCATCTTGTGGCATTTGGTCGAAGTACGAACTAAATAATCAAATAAATTTATGGATCATTCTTTTAAAAGTACAAGGGTAATTTGTTGGCTGAGCGATTAGCGAAGCCCATTACTCCACTGACCGGAAAAGTTTCATTCTGTTTGTCTGTTTGTTGGTTTGTTTGTTTGTCTGTCTGTCTGTCCGCACGATAACTCGAGAAAGAATTGAGATAGCGACCTGGGATTTTCAGGGTCGTTTTGTATCATAAAAAGACAGATCGAGTTCGAAGATGAGCATTCTAGCTCAAAAATTG